AACCCTCAACCCTCAACCCTCAAGCCTCAACCCTAAACCCTAAACCCTAACCCTAAACACCCTAAACCCTAAACCCCGTTTGTAGGATCCTTATGTTTCTTTGGCTTTTTATGGCTGTTACAGCTGGCCCGCCTCAATCGGCGAGCCGTTGCGCCAGCGGCTCTTGGTGGCATTGCCTGCGTTTAGGGTTTAGGCTTTAGGGTTTAGGGTTTAGGATTTAGGGAGTTTCAGGGTTGACGCTTCATTGAAGCCCAGAACACCCTAGCCCAGGGTGCATTTGAGGCCTGATAAAGCTCAATCTCGTTTAGGGTTTAGGGTTTAGGGTTTAAGGTTTAGGGTTTAGGGTTTAGGGTTTAGGGTTTAGGGTTTAGGGTTTAAGGTTTAAGGTTTAGGGTTTAGGGTTTAGGCTTTAGGGCTTCGGCTTTGCAATATCGGGATTGGGGCCCCAGAACTAACCTAGGCCCAAGAGTAGCCGAGGAACAAAACAGGGTGCCCTTATTGGCTTACCCTAAACCCTAAACCCTAAACCCTAAACCCTAAACCCTAAGGCCTACTCTGGGTCCTAGGGACAACTCCTCAAGGAGAGGTTGGGGGTTGCGTGGTGAGAACATCATAGGCTTCCCTACACCCCCCTCTATACTACCCGCCCCGAAGGTTCCCCCCTTATAATAACCTTAACTAGGCTTAATTCTCCCTAAGCAGCCTTAATTATGAATGGGAACCTAGGGGGGGGGGGGGGGTAGTAGCCCTAAACCCTAAGCCCTAAAACCCTAGAATAGACCCCCAAATAGAGGGGGTAGTAGGGGAACCCGTGAGAACAAGAACTGCAAAGCCAGGTTGCCGAGGCTGTCGATCATCACGCCCTCACCGTCCTCCGGGGTCGCACTCTGCGGGAGGGTAAACCCCCTAAACCCTAAACCCCCTAAATCCGAAACCCTCAACCCGAAACCCTACAAACCCGAAACCCTAAACCTTTGGATGTTTGGGGTTTTTATTTGTTATTGTTGAAGGCTTTCGGGCCTTAGGGTTGCGGGCGTGCCCCTAAAGCCTAAACCCTTAACCCCGAACCCGAAGCCCTAAAAACCAAGGCTGCCATGCATTCAGCAGACTCTCCAGGTGCTGACGTGAACTCAAAGCATTGCAACGCAACTTTCGTGCCTGTGCCTTGGTAGGTCGCGTGAGAATTTGCTTCAGGGTTTAGGGTTTAGGGTTGAGAGTTTAGGGTTGAGGGCTTTGGGTAGTTTAGGGTTTGAGTGCCTGCGTTGCGCATGGCACCATGATTGGTGGGCATTTCCTGGTCAGGACGAGCCGCCCAAGGCCCTTTTGTCTTCGAGACACCCTCTGTGGATCAGTTGACAATGTTGAGACATGTGGCTGATCTAGATTGTGGCCCCGTTTTTGTCTGACGTCGTGCATGACTTATGGTTGAGGGTACTGCAAAGGCACCCATAGTACAGCCCAGCTTCCACATGAACCTCATCTCAAACCATGCGGCCCCCCACAAACACCCAGCCACAGCCACACATAGCTCGGACACGGGCCAGCAGCCCATCGGAAGCACTTCCAACAGCATGTCCATGTAAGCATCTTAAAGAGCTGTTCTTGAAATAGGAGTTAGGGTTTTGGGCTTACGAAGCCCTTAACCAGAAGAGAGTTCTTAATGCACATATGTTTTGATATTCATAGATCTATCTACCTGTTTGTCGCTTCATTTCAAGTATCATTACAAAACGTATCCCCGTGTGCATAGCGCTGTGAGCGAGTGCCATGCAGGTTGCGCCGGTTAGCCAGCTCGTGGAGTGTGATTTAGATGGAAATGGGCGAAGCCGGTTTGCAGCTCTCATGATTGTCGTGTTTGCAGCTCTCTCTCGCTCTTTTTTTAAATCTCTTTCTCTCTCTCTCTCTCTTTTTTTCTCTCTCTCTCTCTCTCTTTTTTCTCTCTCTCTCTCTCTCTCTTATGCTTGCGCGTCGTAAGTGCCCTAGCCTCGACTCAGGCTTCGACGAGCCATTTGGCCACCCAGTCCACCTCCCTTCCCTGGGCAAAATGCGCAAATGGGCGACCTCCAGTTGCAGTTCCAAGATGCCGCGTCTGGTTTAGGGTTTAGGGTTTAGGGTTTAGGGTTTAGGGTTTAGGGTTTAGGGTTTAGGGTTTAGGGTTTAGGGTTTAGGGTTTCCACAGGTCGGGCTCCACGCGGCAGCTATCTGAATAACGTTCCAGTGGCTCCAGCGGGCCCTCCCGGATCTCTTCAAGAATACCCCGAAATCCCACGGCGATGCACAAGCATGCCACGTCCAATCTCTTCATCCTCCTTCTATCAGATCATCATCCTCCGTCCACAGGGAGAAAAAGCTGACCGGCCCTAATTAAACTCTAGCCCTAAACCCTAAACCCTAAACCCTGAACCCTAACCCCGAAAAACGACTTGCCCCGCCCCTCCCAAAAGCCAAAACACAAAGCCGAAATACCTGCTTACCCTGAATACCCCAAATGCCCTAGAACCCCTAAGTACCCTAAACACCCTAAGCTTCAAATGGTCCTGCTTGCCGTTGGCCCACTGTCCCTCGTACTTTCGGCCTTGTCGGAGGGCGTTTGGCGTTTGGGGGGCGCAACTTAGGGCTTGCTCAATATCTAAGAAATATTCAACATACCCCTTGGGCATACCCCTGAAGAGAAACTGAGGGGTATGGTAAAATCCTTCCTTACATTCTCCGTTTAGAGGTTAAGGGGTATGGGTTTGTATGTTGAATTATTCTTAGAGAAGATGGGGCCCTAAAGGGAGAACCCTTATTTACCCCTTGTAGACCCTAAGCCCTAAACCCTAAACCCTAAACCCTAAACCCTAAACCCTAAACCCTAAACCCTAAACCCTAAACCCTATAAAGCCTCAGGGCCCATACTTCAGAACCCTGTAAAGAGGGTACGGGCCCGGACTCAGGCGCCATGCAACTTCTCATAGACCTATAAACCCTAAACCTACCCCCTCGTCAGAGTTTAGGGTTTAGGGTTTGGGGTTTAGGGTTTAGGGTTGAGGGTTGAGGGTTTATTTAGGGTTAGGGCTGCAGCGTTCGCAGGGTTGCAGGGCTGAGGTTGTGGAAATCCAAGATTGCATGCCACACTTCGATCTACTTGCTAGGCAGTTCATGGTTCTAACCCTAAACCCTGAACCCTAAACGCTAAACGGGTTTCCAAGGCTTGGCAGGCAGATGTTACGATACTTAGAAGGCCTGGAAAGCAAACCAGCCCTATAAACCCTCCTGTTGTAAGCCCCGTCAACCCTACAAGCCCTACAGGGTTTGGGGTTAAGGGTTTACCCTTTAAGTCCAGAAGCCCTGAAGTAATATAACCCGAAACCCCAAAACCCGAAAACCCCTAAAACCCCTAAAACCCTAACACCCTAGTAGAGTGCCCTAACACCTTAACACCCTAAACCCTAAATCTTGCGCCCCAAACCCTAAATCTTGAGCCCTAAACCCTATGCTATACCCGGGAAACCCTAAACCCTACACCCTAAACCCTAAACCCTAAACCCTAAACCCTAAACCCCAAACCCTAAACCCTATATCCGGGAACAGAGGCTCAGGCCGTCTGGCCAGGTCAGTGTGCCCTGCCCGTGCCGGAAGTCATTCTTGTACTCGCCCTCGTACCGAGAACCTCGAAGTCAGCCCGGGGGTTTGGGGTTTAGGGTTTAGGGTTTAGGGTTTAGGGTTTAGGGTTTAGGGTTTAGGGTTTAGGGTTTAGGGTTTAGGGTTTGGGGTTTGGGGTTTAGGGTTTAGGGTTTAGGGTTTAGGGCTTAGGGTTTAGGGTTTCGGTTTGGGGTTTAGGGTTTAGGGTTTAGGGTTTAGGGTTTAGGGTTTAGGGTTTAGGGTTTCGGGTTTAGGGTTTGGGGTTTGGGGTTTAGGGTTTAGGGTTTAGGGTTTAGGGTTTAGGGTTTAGGGTTTAGGGTTTCGGGCTTAGGGCTTCGGGCTTAGGGCCTAGGGTTGCGAAGGGCGGAGGTGTAGGAAGCTTTGCAGATTTGCTGCTATAGGATTGAGCCAGAAAACCTTCATGTTCCGAAGCATCTGACTGAGGTGCGGGCTGGATGTTTAGGGTTTAGGGTTTAGGGTTTCGGGTTTAGGGTTTGGGGTCCGCCGACCCTGGCGGCGTCCTCCTTACCCCCCCAAAACGCGGGGGGGGGGGGGGGACCCCACCCACGCTGTCTTGTCCTGGTGCTACCCCCTACCCCCCGCCAAACGTTTCGCAGAACTCTGCCGAGCAGGCTGGGATGATCTTCGAACCATGCGAGCGGGTTTAGACCTCTCAACTGTGCTCCAGCGGGGTCGGCGGCTTGAGCCGGAGGCTCTTAAATTTAGGGTTTCGGGCACCTCGCCACTTTTCAAATACCCAGGTGCCGGACATCCTTCCTCCCCGTGTCTTCAGGAACTGGGTGCTGCTCCCTTCATCTCCTCCTCATAATTACCACCCTAAACCCTAACCCTAAACGCTTCTGAGGGGTGCATTCGGGCACCGCGGGTCGTAGGATGGTTGTACACTCCGTTATTATCTCGGAAACTACCGACCTGAAAATGGGCCTAGACAGAAAACCCGATTAGTTGACCCCAAGCCCTAAACACTCCAAACCCTTGCCAGGTCCTGCAATCAAGCCAGCCCTAGGCCCTAAAACCCCAACCCCGAAAGTCCCCCAAAACCCGAAACAGGCCCTAGGCCCCCAAGCCCCTTAAACCCCTTAAAGCTCTTTGTTGGAGACTAAGCCCTAAAACACCTTAAAGGCCACTTAAACCCGAAACATTTCGGCCCCAATCCCCCAAGCTCCTAAAACCCCTTAAAGACCTTTGAACCCTAAACCCTAAACCCGGAACCCTAAACCCTAAGCCCCCGAGCCCCTCACACCCCTTAAAGCCCTTTGTTGGAGACACCCTAAACCCTAAACCCTAAACCCTTAAACCCCTTTAAAGCCCTGTGTTGGAGACAACCACGCTTGGGTTCGAGCCATCTGGCCAAGTCATAGCCCCCTTCCCGGACATGTGGCCCTTCTGCCACGCTCCCACGTAGACGCGCCTCGAGGGAGCTTAGGGTTTTGGGTCTTATGAAGGGTTTGGGGTTTGCCAAAGGTTTAGGGTTTAGGGTTTAGGGTTTAGGGTTTAGGGTTTAGGGTTTAGGGTTTAGGGTTGAGGGTTGAGGGTTGAGGGTTGAGGGTTGAGTGTTTACACAGGTGTAGGAGGGAGGGCGGTGGAGGTTTAGGGCTTCGAACTAGGGCTCAGGGTTGTAACTGTTGAAGCACCTTAGGGTCTAGGGTGTTGCATAGGGGCAGGCAGAAGCTTAGCCTATGGTCCATGCCCGGGTCGTACACCCCTAAACCCTGAAACCCTGCGGGGTGCGATCTTTTTCGGGGCTTCCCAGAGCATTTTCACAAAAGGTGCACCACCGACGGACACTACAGGGTTTAACAAAGGGCCTGGGCTTGGGGTCTGGCTAGGGTTTACTTACACTAACCCTGCACGCCAGCAAAAGGGGCCGCAGATGATCAGTCCCCTTAACTCTTAAACCCCAAGCCCTAAACCGAAAACACCAAGAGCTTTGGGCTTTTCCGTATTAACCATAAACCCCACACCTTCACAGTAAACCCTAAACCCTAAACGTAAACCCTAAACCCCACACATTCGCTGTGGGCCCCCGGCCCATCAGAGAAGTGATACGTGCCCTCTCCGTCCATGCGGTCGTTGTTGAACTGGCCCTGAAACTTGATCTCGTGTTTAGGGTTTAGGGTTTAGGGTTTAGGGTTTAGGGTTTAGGGTTTAGGGTTTAGGGTGTAGGGTTTAGGGTTTAGGATTCAGGGCTTAGGATTCAGGCTTAGGATTCAGGCTTTAAGGTATAGGAGGTTTGCCATACCTGAGCCCTAGGCCATTCTGTTGAAAGCAGGTTTAGTGCTTTGGGTTTAAGGCTTACAAGGTTCAGGATTGAGATAAGCCCTGAACCCTAAACCCACCCCAAACCCTCGGCCATGTCGACCGTGAGTCCAGAAAGGAAGGAAGTGAGACTAAACCCTCAACCCTAAAGCCTCAACCCGAAACCCTAAACCCTAGAACCTAGACCCTAAACCCAAAACCCCGCTAAAACGCTAAGCACTAAAACCTGAACCCTTAACAGTGCAAACAGAACTAGGGTTAAAGAGGGTGTGAAAGCATATTCGGACTGACTTAGGGTTTAGGGGTTTAGGGTTGGACGGTCTAGGGGGGTTTAGGGTTTACGGCTTTGGGGTTTAGGGCTTACGGGTTTAGGGCCAGGGGTTTTGGCTTAAGGGGTTGTAGGGTTTATATAGGGTTCAGGGGGCTTCAAGGGTTTCGGGTTTAGGGGGCTTAGGCTTCAAGGGTTAGCGGCTTAGGGTTTTGGGAATTCCAGCTTAAGGTTTCAGGGGTTTAGCGTCAAGATCACCTCCCAAACACCCTCGAAATGCTGAAGGATGCTGCGGGGCTGGGGATTCTTGATGCAACGAGCACCAAGACAAGGGACCCTAAAAACCCCAAACCCAGAAACCCTAACACCAAAAAAAACTAAAACCCTAAACCCTGAACCCTGAACCCTAAACCCTGAACCCTAAACCCTAACCCCTAACCCCGAAACCCTAACCCCTAAACCCTAAACCCTAAACCTAGACCCTAGACCCTAGACCCTAGACCCCTAGACCCTAGACCCTAAACCCTAAACCCTTAGGGAACCCGATCTTTGGGAGAAGCAGCCCAGGCCACCCCAGACCCTAAAGCCTCAAAGCACGAAAAGGCCTCGATCCCTAGGCCTTAATCCCCTAAGGGTATAGGGTTTAGGGTTTAGGGTTTAGGGGTTTAACCCAACCGTTTTAAGAAAACCTTATTATACGTTTTAAGGGTTTAGAGTCTAGGGTTTGGGGTTTGGGGTTTAGCGTTTGAGGTTTTAGGTTAAGGGCTCAGGGCCCCAGGGTTCCCTGCGATGCAGCTTTTTGTACGGTACATGCACGCCGCGCGGGCGGCGAGGGGGTCCACGATTTGACGAACCATACCCCGATAAGGCTTGATGGAGGAGGGTCTTCTTTGTGGTGGTTTGGATTTCGGGATTTAGGGATTTAGGGTTTAGGCTTTAGGGATTCGGGATATAGGGTTTAAGGATCTAGGGTCCTGGGGTCTTAGGGTCTTAGGGTTTTAGGGTTCTAGGGTTTTAGGGTTTCAGGGATTTTAGGGTTGAGTTTTGGGTTTAGGAGCTAGGGAAACCGAACATCTGCAACCCACGCAACTACTCCATAAGATGGTGAAACCGTGAAGCTTCACGGGCGCTGCCGCAGGAGTGGTGCCTCTACAACGTGCTTAAGGAACCCGAATGTGAGCCCTAAACCCTAAACCCTAAACCCTAAACCTTATACCCTAAACCCTGAAGCCTCAAGGGCTGCGGGAATAGCGCATAGGGTTCAAGGTCTTAGTTGAGTTGTCTAGGGGCAAAAAGTTAGGGGCTCCAAAACATTCTCTGCATCCACTTCCCACTTCCCTAAGCCCCAACACTGAAACCCTGAACCTAAACCCTAAACCCTAAACCCCAAACCCTAAACCCTCAACCCTAAACCTTAAACCCTAAACCGTAGAAAGGGCCGTAAAAGTTTCGAGTGCCAGGTTCAACCGGACTGAAGAGGGTTTAGGGTTTAGGGTTTAGGGCCCCCTGAACACGTGGCCTCCCCCTAAACCCTAAACCCTAAATGCTAAACCCTAAACCCTCAACCCTGAAAGGGATGTACAGGGGTATGACGCATCCACAGTCCAGCATCCTCCCCGCAGTTCTGGCGCCCATGAGTCCGGGGCAACGACGACTCACGGTCCCCCCCTAAACCCCAAACCCTAAAGGGTCTAGGGTTTAGGGTTTAGGCTTTATAGGGTTTGGGGAAGGTTTAGGGTTTAGGGTTTAGGGTTTAGGGAAGACCAACCCCATCATGATTTTAGGGTCCAAAAGGGAGGGGTTTAGGGTTTAGGGTTTCGGGTAACCCAAGGATATCTGATACTCCCCACTGCTCCTAAGCTCCTTCAGAACCCCTTAAGTTTCTCCAGGCAATTACCCCACTCCTTTAGGAACCATACAAGAAACATCCTCAAACCATAGAAGCCCTTCGGCCTCTCAACCCTAAACCCTAAACCCTAAACCCTAAACCCTAAACCCTAAACCCTAAACCCTAAACCCATAAACCCTAAACCCTAAACCCTAAACCCTAAACCCTAAACCCTAAACCCTAAACCCTAAACCCTAAACCCTAAACCCTAAACCCTAAACCCTAAACCCTAAACCCCCTTAACCCTAAACCCTAAACCCTAAACCCTAAACCCTAAACCCTAAACCCTAAACCCTAAACCCTAAACCCTAAACCCTAAACCCTAAACCCTAAACCCCCTTAACCCTAAGCCCTAAGCCCTGAGCCTCAAGAGTCGGCAGGAGCAAGAACCAGAGGCAGCCAATCAAATCCTGCAGCCTCCTCCTGCCTCGCTTCTAGCTTAAAGGTTAGGGTTTTAGGCTTTAGGGTCAGGGGTTTGAAGTTAAAGGTTAGGGTTTTAGGCTTTAGGGTCAGGGGTTTGAAGTTAAAGGTTAGGGTTTTAGGCTTTAGGTTCTAGGGTTTAGGGTTCTAGGGGTTTGAAGTTAAAGGTTAGGGTTTTAGGCTTTAGGTTCTAGGGTTTAGGGTTTAGGGTCTTGGGTTGCGGGTTTTGGGTTATAGGGCTCAGGTTTCGGGGTTTAGGGTTGTAAAGGGTTGTACGGGGGTTTCTAGGGGGTTGTTTTGGGTTTTAGGGCTAGGGTTTACGCTGTTATAGGGTTGTTTTGGGTTTGAGGGTTCAGCTTGACATTCTTGAAAAGCAGTCATACTGCAACCCTAAACCCTAAACCCTAAACCCTAAACCCTAAACCCGAAGCCCTAAACCCTCACTATCAGAGCTGCTTGGATTTTGGGCGCAGTTGGAGTGTAGGGTTGTAGGACCTCTGGTTGGGTAAGTTCTGCCTAAACTTGCCTAAACCCTAAACCTTATAAACGCTAAACCCTAAACCCTAAACCCTAAAACCTATACCCTAAACCGCTGGGAGAACGTAGCCGCGCGAGTGAAACATGGAAGCTGCCCACAGTTGAAGCCGCACCTTTTGCGCTTTCGCTACAATCTTCGGGTAGTTACATGGTTCTTAGTATCGCTACAATCTTAATATGGGCCCTTACCTGCTACCCTAAACCCCTAAACCCTAAACCCTGAACCCTAAACCCTAAACCCTACACCCTGAACCCCGAACCCTTTATAGGCTTAGGGTCTTGGATTAAGAATGGCCCCCTGATTGGGCCTACATACCCCTGAGAACCCAAGGGCCCATACAACCCTTTAAAGAAGGGAATAGACCGCGTTAAGGAACCATGTAACTTCCTTGGGATACAAGGAAATCTAAAGGGCTTCAAGTACCTCGTGAAAAATGTACTTGGGCCCTTTCAGGTTTAGGGTTTTAGGGTTTACAGCTAGCAGCTTCTGACTACTTCCCGGTGCCCAAGAGGTGTTCGGGATATGCAAGTCGGCCTTAATGAGGTTCGGGGTTTAGGGTTGAGAGTGTAGGGTACTCATAAAAACTGCTTAGAGGAACTTGGGGCTTGGGATCACATCCCCTATGCTACTGCAAGCTGCCACGAAGAAAGAGGCCCTAAACCCAAAACCCAAAACCCAAAACCCTAAACCCTAAACCCTAAACCCTAAACCCTAAAAGGGGGTACCAGGGGCGGCTCTACAGTGTGCCTTGTAAGAAGATTAGGGCTTTTCAAAGTTGGGACACGGTCGTTCCCTGCGCCCGTCTGCGTAAACGCGGCGGTAGCTCGACGTGAGGATTGAGGGCTTCGGGTGTGGGACTATACCTGATGTGTTGGTAAAGATGCTTGGGGTTTAGGGCTGAGAGGTAAAGACATCTATAGGAAACGTGAGAAAGAAATCCCCTTCACTCAGGAACCCTGAGACAACGCTGTAGATTCTACTCCAAACTTCATCAACTTCTTCATCTTGGTAGCCCAGTAACCATTGAGGATTGAGGGCTTCGGGTGTGGGACTATACCTAATGTTTTGGTAAAGATGCTTGGGGTTTAGGGTTGAACATATCCTGAGACACCAGTGTAGATTCTACTCCAAGCTTCATCAACTTCTTCATCTTGGTAGCCCAGTAACCATATTGTAATAAGGGCACCCTTTTTTTGGGTCGGCTACTTTCTAAGGGAACCCAGAGCAAAAAAAGGGCAAAGGGTACCACTGGGCTACTAAGTTGTACTCCAAAGCTCATCAAAAACCCTAAGCCCTATACCCTAAACCCTAAACCCTAAACCCCAAACCCCAAACCCTAAACCCTAAACCCTAAGCCATTCGCAAGACCAAGAGTTGCCCGCCACGGTCAGCAAAGTACGTGCACGGCCGGATGTTGGGGTGGCATGCCAGGCTCACACGCTCATACTTCAGTCCGAGGTTGAGGGTTTGGGGTTTAGGGTTTAGGGTTTAGGGTTTAGGGCTAGGGGTTTAGGGTTTAGGATTATCGGTTTAGGGTTTAGGGGCTTAGGGTTTAGTGGGTTTGGGGTTTAGGGTTTAGGGCCTTGGGGTTCAGGGTTTAGTGGGTTTAGTGCCTAGGGTTCTACATGGGATTTGGGCAGTGGCTGCTGCCAAAGATCTCGATGCACGACGCCCTAAGCATCATGCCATAAGCTTGCTAGCCGTCAACCTTCAA